AGGAGAGGCGGCACCAGCCCCCCCACGAGCAGGAGCCACCGCCGCCCTCCTTGTCCTCTCCTCCCCTTCCCGAGCACCCGGGCAAACTGCAGCCGGTACCTGTTGCCAGGAGGAGGCAAGGGCAGGACATTTGCACTAAGGAGCAAGGAGGGCATCGCCCCCTGACTCCTACAAGGCTTTAAGAGCAGGAGCTTCTCCCTAGGAAGATGCAAATTAATAAAAGGGGTAAGCGCTTAGGGCAGCAGATGAGCTAGGCCTTTTAAAGGCATAGCCTGAGCTGGCATGTGCTATTTAAGACCACCGGGTTGATGATGCATCTCACCTGCACCAGCAGCCAGGCTGCTTCAGCTGCTGTCTGAGCTTCCAGGGACACTGTGCCTGGAATTCTGCCTGGCTCCACTTTTCAGGTACCTGGGAAATAAGCAGCAATTAATGCTTTGGCAGCAATTCCCAGCCAAAAATCACCCAGGGTGTTATAATTGTTAGCTATGTGTGGTTTGTAGGACAGGGGGAAGCAGCCTGGCATGTCACATATGTGCCCTGAGCTGCATATGACAACACTGCTTTCAGCTGTTTTTTTGGGATCTGGAATGTCTTTGTCTGCATTGGGAGGAGTAAAGCAGCAAACTGTGCAGTAAGGGCTCTGGGTCTCAGTTTTGCTTCTGTTCAGCACTTTTTTAAATTTTCCTTGCTGCTCTCATTAATTACTTCCTCATGTGCTGGTCCCTGCCTGAGAAACACTGGGGACTACTGAGGCTTTGATAGGAAGGATTCTGGAATGCTTGAAGATCCTGAATCAGGGAATTAGTCTGGCTAGATTTATGCTTATCTGACTAGGGCAGATTAGAATCTCTCCTTGACAAAGATTCCTATGCACCAAGGAAAAGGGGACATCTTAGAGGCCTCATTTTGATATCCACCCACTATTTTTTTCATAATCCACTGCTGCTTTACACAGTCATTCACAGCAGTGCCCTGGTATCAGACGTTGCAAATTTGCTGCAATGAAATGTCCAGGATAAGAGGATGGGTCACCCTATTCTTATTTTATAGATGAAGCTGAGGCACAAGCTGCTTCTTACAGGACCCCAGGGAACTAGATGAAATTCAGAAGTGAAAAATAGTTTCCCTGGTTACCCCGGCAGGACAATTCTACAGCTGCAGCCCCTTGGCTGAATACATGACACCATTATATTTATTTGCCATCTGCCTTTGATTGCAGGCTCAATTCAGATATTCTTTGCGGAGATTTGTTTGTAAGTGCTTTAACACTCTCCCTGAGATTTCAAATGGATGTATGAAGATTCAAGCTGTCTCTAGTGCTTTTGACAATGCTGAATGGGCTGCAAAAAAAGGAATATTTGCCTCAATAGGTGAGCCCCTGAGACACTGACTTAACTGAGACACATCAGGCCCAGAACTATAATGTCACCTTGAGATCACTGGGGGACAATCAGTAATTTCCTTCCTCTTCCCCTCCTACAGGACAAAATCCACTTTTTATTGTACTCGCTTACTGCTTAAAATGGACGAGTGGGTTTCTCCTCAGTGATATGAGGCTGCCCTTTATTTGGTTTGGCAACAGGAAGCAAAAGCAAAATAATTCTATTTAAAAATTCTGCAATAAGGAGTTGTTCCAGAGCTGCACCAGCAAGCTGGAGGAGCCTGAAGAACATAAATAAGGTAGGAAGGCACTTGGCAGCAGAAGACATTGTACTGCCAAGGAGGCATCACTGGGCATGTGATGCAGGTGATGCTTGAAATACATCACTGGGGCTGCTATTTAAGCATACCTGTAGGCTATTCATTACTTCTGCCTCTGACTGGCCTGTGTATTTTTCTGATCAAAATGTTCCAATGCATCCAGCACTAACCCCATATTTCTCAATTGATACCTTTAATGATCATAATTATACTATATTGTTCTCAGCTACATCAGTTAAAAGCTGGAATAAGCTTATTAAATTTAGAAGTTATTAGTTTTACACCACTTTCAGTCACACAAAGCTGGCTCCATATTTTGCCTTTTACAATCAGTCACCTTATTTACCTTTATGTTCATAGGATACAGAACTGAGCCCAAAGACAACAAATGAATACGCTAAAAAGCTTGTGTTTATCTAATCTAACTTGGAGTCATATTTTTATAGTAAAAATAAAGCTGGTTAAAAATCAGGGTAGCTGATTTCAGTCTTAAAAGTTGCTGGCAAGGAACAAGGGAATCCCTTGGGGTCTGTATCCTCTTAGGCTGTGACTCCATTTGCTTCAGAGTAGAGACCTAGATGTGGAATTAGCTCTAAGTTAAGGAGTGTTTTGCAGGTGGGTGGTGGATGTAGGTCCCTTTCTGGGTGGTTTGAAACTCAGCTGCCTTTGAAACGTGGTTAATTTCTCACTGACTAGCAGAATTATCATGCATTTTGTTTTGCCCAGTTCTGCGAGCTGCAGAAATTAGGGCGAGGAGGGGTTGCTTTGCAAGAAGGGGCTTAAACCCGGGTGGCCCTTAACCCTGTCAGATACGGAAATCTGGCAAAGCCTGCGGTTTGGGGCTATTTCTGTAAAACAGCGGCATCCAGTGGGCCTAAAAAAAAAAAAAATCAAGGGAAATACACGGGGAGATGAGGCTGGGACCTGCGGGAGCCGACGCTCCTGCCCATATACCCGTGTTTCCATCCCCAGAGCGCTGCCCCCTTCCAGCCCCCCGCAGCGGCTCGGAGGAAACAGGGCGGCTCCACTTTACCTCAGCCGCTCCCGCCT